GAATAATCACGTGTGAATCGAGGGGCGGGCTTTTGGCAGGCAGATCTTACTAGTATTTACTACCAAGCTCTACTCCAGATTAACCATCCCAGTCCTTCTGTCAGTCTCCGATGCCATCATGCAGCCTGGTTAAGGAGCAAAGGAAAGGGGAGAAAGAAAAACAACTAATTCATCTTTTCCCGATCGTCAGGACCCTAAAGAATGGCCGAGCCTTGGGGGAACGAGTTGGCGTCCGCAGCTGCCAGGGGGGACCTAGAGCAACTTACTAGTTTGTTGCAAAATAATGTAAACGTCAATGCACAAAATGGATTTGGAAGAACTGCGCTGCAGGTTGGTATCCAGAGAGGTGGGAGAAACAGGTTAATTACGTTGCCTACAAGACCCGGGTTTCTAGAATGACACCTTTTTTTTTTTTCTTAAGCTTTCAGGGGTACAAATTTTCACTCTTTTTAAGCCTAGTTGGTTGCCATATTTTATATCTTTAAGAGGATCCAACTCCCCAAAATGACGTACTTTGAAGAAACTCGTCAAATCCAATAACATCCTCAATATCAAGAGGATTCTAGATTTGATCTTAATTTTTGGAATGTTTTTGTGACGGTGGGGATTTTAGAGTAGTCATACCAGCGCGGAGGTTTATTTGTTTTGTTCTGTGTTGTTTTAGAAGCTCTGTAAACACATTGTTATGATTATTATTTGAAGCAAATACCCTGCTATTAGTGGTTTCATGTACTTTGCCCCCTAAAATTGACTTTAATGTTAATTTTCTTAGCTACCAGCAAGGGTGTTTTTCCTTCAAAGGCTTCACATTTTGACTAACGACCTTTCCTCGTTTGGAAGGGATAGCCTGGGCACGGGGACAGGATGTACATTTCACAGTTAATACAATGCCATCAACCCATTCAGGAGCTAGGAAAAATTAAAAGTTGAATTTTCTAATCAGAGCTTAGCTTCAGTGTTTTTGTCCCTGCGGTCATGCCGTGGTATTCTCTAATATTCAGTAATTAGATTTGCAGGCAACAATTGACACATGTCCAGCTGCCAAGTATATACATGATAATATTTTTTCTTCTTCCAAATGTTATGCTATAACTTAGTTGAAGGGCTTATAAGCAGAAAAATGGAAAATTAGTCTAAAATAGTTGCTTTATCAGAGTTCTGATGATATTCTTACTCGGAAGCTGCTTTTAAAAACCCATTGGGGAGAGGGGTTTCAGAGAGCTTGGTTTCGGTTATAAAAATTAAAAATTTAAGTGTCAGGAGATATAATAAGGTCCATATAGTCTGTACATTTTAAATTTGAATGCATTGGCCTAGCATGATTTCAGTATTAAGGAAGGTTATGCACAATTACAGAATTATTTATCTTGTTGTTTCAGGTGGATTAAGTAGGGAAAGAACTTTTTTTTTTCCTTTTTTTCACCTAGTACTTTTGAACAGATTTGGTGATGATAGTAATGCCACAAATTTAATATACTAAAAAGTTACCTGCTGAAAACTCAAAAGTTTATACCACTCTCACAAAGCACGAATCACTTAACTCATTTTCACAATAAGACCTTACAGGTAGGGTGAAACAGGGATGATGTGGATATTTATTGTATCATCAAACCTGTGTTTAATGAATGGTCTTATCATAGATAATAACTCCCACTTATTGTGGCTTAGTTTTAGTACATATAATGAAACACACACAAACAGGATTCTCAGGGCTTATTTTCAGTATGCATAATCTTGACTGAATGTTCATATTCTTTTTAATTATTTCTGTAAGATGACTTCTTCTCATTCTCAATAAGCTTGTCTCCCTCCTATCAATGTGGATAATATCAAAGGCCTTATTCGGACATTTGCTTTGCAAAAGAACCAAGGTGTCTCTGTCACTCGTTTTTCTAATTCTAGGTCCTTAAATATGACAAAATCTTTAGAGAGCATTGTGGCAAAAATTAGATTGTATTAATTTTTAATAACCAAGAAGTGTATTTCATTGAAGTTCTTGAAAAATAAACTTTGTGTCATTTTTACCACTGCCCCCAAAAGAAGGGCTAAAAGTTCACAGGGTTTTATCAACGGGTAAACTTACTATCTTAACCATTCACATAGCTTACATTTATAAAATATTATTCTAAACGCATTTTATTATATTAGTTAATTTATGTTTATTTTTAAACAAACATTTTAAAGAGCTAATTCAAGTTTATACATATATTTTCCAATGGATTATCATTTGAGTTAATAAAGTGAGTATCTACTATATAACCTATTTATTATAAATTTAGATTATTATGAATAGATCTAATATAAATGAATCTAGCTAAAATGCTGAAAAGTTCTGGCATGTTAATGAGAATAATATTTTTCACAACTAAGTTATATATTTTTATACTGTATGCTGTTCTATAAGATTTTTTAATTATGAGAAACTAACACCTCATTAAAGTGAAATACATTTAACCAACAGTAAATAAGGCTTTGTGATATAAATTACTTTGTATTTGATAGCAAATGTTAATATCACATTCTGATTTCTAAATATATTGGCAGCTTACAAATAGCTATTCCTAAATGCTTATAGTAACTGCAAAAGGAAATAAGACAGGATCACCAGTTGATTATTAAATGGACTCAAACCACAAGACAAAGCTGTCTGTGTCCCAAAACACACATTAAATATCTTACTTTTTCTTTTGCTCTCTTGATTATCAGGAGGCTAGTTAGAACTTTGATAAACAGTAACTAATATAGTAGGGTGACTGTTCCATTCTTTTCAAAAACGGTTGCCATACAATCATTTCCTATCTAATACAAGGCCTATCATGAGCTTAGTTTTAGATAAGTTGATACAATAAGCAATGTAGAACACTGTGGCTTATTTAAGTGCCTTAATAATCAGTAACATTCTGTAATTTAAAATTAATTCTAAGCACTGAGTGAGTAGCTAGTATTAAATAGACAGCAAAGAAAAATATTTTTAAATGCTTGGAAATTTGGGGCTATACCTATTTGGAGGGAACTTGTGAAAAATAATCATTTAAGAAAATATCAGGTCTGGATTTTTAATATATCAGGTTTACACTAGGTGACATTTGTTTGGGGTTGTAAAGAAACTCACCATCTTTGTTTTCAGTAGCTACTTAGAAAATAAATTTTACTCACATTTGACTTTTAAGAATTAATACTCCAGGTACATTTTATGAGCATGGAAAATCAAGTAGAATACTTACTGAAACTCCAAATTCCACTTCTTTTATTTTAAGGAATTCATTAAAGAAACTACACAATTCTTCATGGAAGATAAAGAACTAAGTTGTCTGTGAAACATTTAAAGTTGCACAAATTCTTTTTTATTGGTCATTTTATCCTACATTGGGGTTCATTTAAGATATCTAATCAAAGATGCTCACTTTTTAGAAATTCTCTTTTACTAACTAGTACTGTCCTACCACTGAGCCCTTCTCACTCTATCCTATAAGTCTTCCCCCAAAGTACTCCATCAAAAATGATTGTAAAAATAGGACAAGTAGATATTTAAAAATATTCCTATAGTGTGAGCACTTGAAGGATTCTACCGTTTTTAACTTCTTTTCTAGGTTATGAAACTTGGAAATCCCGAAATTGCCAGGAGACTACTACTTAGAGGTGCTAATCCCAATTTGAAAGACCGAACTGGTTTCGCTGTCATTCATGATGCAGCCAGAGCAGGTTTCCTGGACACTTTACAGACTTTGCTGGAATTTCAAGCTGATGTTAACATCGAGGATAATGAAGGGAACCTGCCCTTGCACTTGGCTGCCAAAGAAGGCCACCTCCCGGTGGTAGAGTTCCTTGTGAAGCACACAGCCAGCAATGTGGGGCATCGGAACCATAAAGGAGACACCGCCTTTGACTTGGCCAGGCTCTATGGGAGGAACGAGGTCATTAGCCTGATGGAGGCAAATGGGGTTGGGGGATCCACAAATCTACAATGAATGTGGGGAGGGCTTTCCCACATTGCCTACATTCTGTCAGTTAATTGGTTGCCTGTTCTGACTATCTTAATATCATTTGTTAAAATATAGGCCTTTCATATTTTAAGCACTTAGTTAAACCTTTTGAAACTGCATAAGTGGAAATCTTACTGAAGATTTATTAGTATATTTAAGCAACATCTTTTTCACTGGCAAAATCCTGATTTCTAACATGTAATTGCAAATAGCTTTGGCTTTCTTCTGAATATTTTATCTTTCCTTGACTTTTTCCTTGCTTACCCCTTTGCCAATCCCAATCACCCTGAATGCCAGAAATGTAAAAATAACAAAATGTTTAAGTATTAAAGTAAAATACAAATGCCAGTTTTGGTAGGTAACAAACTAAGCAAGTAAAAAAAAATTTAAATTACATATAAAGCTCATCGCTATCTTAGGATCTATAGAATAATGAATGTAGAAACTTTTACAATAAATAAATAAGTCACTCCTCTATATGGTACTTGATTTTTCACAAGGCTTTTTAGTAAATGAGTATAAAATATTTTGAGTACATATTTAGCTAGAAAAAATTGAAGGAAATAGAAATATCTCAAATTTCCAAGAGGATTTCCCACATCTTCTACTTATTCTGTCATATTAATTAAAGATTGTCACTAAAGGATTTCAATGTAGTCACCATTTGTAAATTCATAAATATTTTATTCATCATCTCTCACATAAACAAAGATGCTTTATGTGAAAGATCCCTCCTTCTACTTCCCTCTACCCTTGCTTCAAAGAGAACAAAATACTTGAAGGTTTATTGAAGGGCATGGTTCTGATGCCTTCCCTAACAAGGATTGGAATGACTGCCGGCAAGTAGTTTTCTGTAATTTATTTTTCACTGTAATGTAAAAGAATATAAGAGGAAAAAGCTGAAACCTTTTCATTTTTGGACTAAAACTCACATTCCTTAGGTTGAATACAACACAACTTCTGCCACCTTTAACCACAAGTTGCAAAATAAATTTGTTTTTGATGGCAGCATTAAATTAAACTTAGGACACTTTTCCTTTTTGAAAAAATACAAATTGAAATTTTTTGGAGGAAAAAGTTGTATTTTGATTTTAAAAGAGTCAGTATACAAAATATGCTACTTTAGCAAACTGTGTATTTTCTAAGCACAACACTATTACTGAAAGCAATAAAAGCACCCCTTCTTACAAGTTGCAACTGTAAAGTTGGATGATTTTGAATTTGAAATGCACTTTAATTGACTCCATATAATCCACCAAGTCTCCGCATTTGCTTTATCCCCAAAAGTGAAATTTCCCTGTAGAGATTTCAACTATAAAGGAGCAGGATGTTCATAAAGCAAAACAAGTACTGCAATTGCTTTGTTCTCGGTGATCACAGCACCAAAGAAGGAGAGGAAGCTCTACCTTTTCATCAGCCTAGAACTTGCTAGGCATTAAGATATCTCCACATTACCCTGGCTTTTCTCAGGAAGTAGCTTTGCTAATCTAAGTGTTTTAGAAATGACTTATGTGGTCCCTTCTAGGAAATATGAAAAGCCATTATTCATTCTCTCAAAAACCTCGACAGTATTCAGTAAAACTCTTGAACAGGCGAAATGGATAGGATGGAAGTTACGGGGCTAGTGCGTTTAATGGGATCTAATTTGCAGCGAGCTAAGGTGGGGATGAATTTGAATTTATTCAGGTGCAGAGTGAGGATGAAAGGGCTAATTAACAGAATGCTCAACGCCCAGAGGACAATGCTATAGAAACCATGGAGGATACAGAACAGAGGTGCGCTCTCAAAGTCAGTTCTTCACTGCGCCTGCATCCGCATCTAGAAACGCAGGCTCAGTCTTTGCCCAGTCAGCTAAATCCATGCTTACACACCCGGGATGAGACAGAAGCACCTACAGGACCTCAGTCCACGTTCTGGTCCCCGAACCGCTAATCAAAGTGCCTTTTATCATATTTCAGCAGTGAATCGGTTTTTTGATGAACGTTATGCATTTGGCAATGGTATAATGAGCTCATGTAACATACACCACGCTAGGTAGCTGGACAAATGCATACAGTATTCTGTCCTGGGAAAGCAATTCACTTGACAATATGATAAATTTCCTTTTATCGTATTGATCAAACGAACATTGTAGAATCAGTGGCCCGGGACTGGTTTCAAAATCTCATTTCTCAAAAAAGTGCTTTCGGCTTCTATGGGGGATGGAAGCAATAGTCCAGAAGAGCTGGAAGATCACAGTGCTAGAGCGAGAAAAGGTTGCATCCTTCCTGACTGTCCTAGGTTACCTCCATCAAAAGCTACAAGAGGTTGAAGGGGGGAGGGTCCGTCGTGGTCTCTGGAGACTGTTTTTGCTTCTACACAGCAGTTCCATGAAAACAGGTCCACGCAGAGACCTGGTGAGAGACAGGAAACAAACTTCCCGCCTGAGACCTAGGGTAAAGCTCTGCCCATAGCCAACCTGTCTCCACGGAGGGGATGCGGAGACATCATTTCTGTCCCTTTGAAACTCTTTCTTCGGACTCCAACTCCGACCCCGGGCGCCCTTGTGACGAAACTGGAGCCCAGAGTTCCTTCAGGGCGCGCAGAAAAGCCCGGGGTGGGGGTGGGGGAGCTTCAAAACCGTTAGCTCGCTGTTTTTTTTTTTTTTCCTCCCTCTCTAAGGTTTCTCTTCTCTTCCTGTCCAAATATTTCAAATTTCCGCGCCTTAAATAACAGTCTCCTTTTATTTAGTTAGTTTCCTCGGCAGGTTTGGCTGTCCACTGCACTCTGTCCCCCTACGGGCCCGGGACGCCTCGGGCGTCTGGGTGCTGGGCCCTGGTGCGCTGCCCCCGGCCCAGATTGCACCGCACCAAGCGCGCCCTGGCCAGAGCCACGGCCCGCTCCTGCTGCGACCTCGCTTGACCCAGCTGTCCAGGCACTCGGAGCCACAAAGTCCGCCCCCCACCCGGACGACTGCCTTGCCTGCCTCCCGGTTCGACTTCCCTCCCCGAACTTGGGAGTCTTTTGCTTTGGGCTTTGGAACCCAATAGCCCTGGAGCGGCGAAAGGGCTTCGGCATCGGAAAGCAGCGGAGGAGGCCGGTGGCCGGAGGCTGCCCCAGCCCCCACCCCGCGGGTAACCTTGGAGGCGCCCTCGGAGTGAGTGAGAGCGCGGCCGCGCCAGCCGGCTGGAGCGAGCTGGCGCACCGCGCGGCGGGCAGGAGGCGGGAGCTGGGCAGGGAGGGGGAGTGGGCCCCGGCGCCTCCCGGCCGTGGCCACAGCGCCCCGGGAGCTGCGGGTTACCCTGGCAGCCAGGCCACCCCCCTACCCCCGAAGCCCAGTCCTGGCCCTCAGGCAGCGGTCCCCAAGGAGGCGGCCGCCATCCCACTGGATAGTTTTGGCGACCTGTGCCTGAGGACTGGGGCCGGAGGGCGGCGCGGGCGCGGTGAGTGCCTCGCTGTGCACAGAGGTGAGGTGGCGGCGGGAGCGGCCCGGCGGCTGGAGCTACTCTGTGCCCAGCGCCAATGCCAGCACTCCCTTCCTGCTCCCCCGATGGCAGCTGAGGGCTGCCGGGCTCCGACCCGGGCGTCCAACTGCAAGGAGGCATATACCTCTCTGGGTTCTCAGCCCCTTGGACTGTAGGGAAAGTTGCCCTAAGGTTTTGCTTCCCCACCCCCACCCCGCATCAATTCTAGACGTCCCGGACCGAAAATGCGCGTTCATTAGCCAAGACCCTCGGCCTCCAGCGCTGTGAATTGCAAGGCTGGGGTGCGCAGAACACCTAGAAGGGGTCTTGTTTTTTTCAATCCGGAATAGTTTAGAAAGTCCAGTAGGAATCTTCAGCGATGCCCCAAAATAAAAACTCCCAAGATCTGAATATAGACTTGATAAATTAAAGTTCCAGTGAAATGTTTTGCCATCTGCTGTAGAAATGGTGTGCGAACTTCAGGTGTTAGGATGTGGGATTGGAATCTTCTGTGTTGTCTATAATCCTCACAGACATTTAAAAAAAAAAAAAAACAGCTTGGTTACGCCCGGCAAGCGAACAAAGGTTATCCTTGCCATCACAGCACCTGCAAAAGCACAAGTGGAACTCACATATTTTCCTTCCTGAGTTTTAAAATGGCTTCGGAACCCTTCAGAGGGATCAGCACACATAAGGAGCTGACCAGAGACAAAAAGAGGGTTTGTACATTTTTAAAAACTACACCAATATTACTGTAATAAAATTGTTCCACCTAACCTCTCTCTTTCCCAGCACCCATCCTTATCGGTCAAGGAAGAATTTTAGCATAGGCCTGCTCAATAACTTCATATACAGCCTTTTTCTCTTCCCTCACATCCCCATCACCAACCAAAAACACAAAACAACCAGCCAAAAACATCAGCTCTTTGGGGGAGGAAGTAAGAAACCACCAATCCTTATCCAACTACACGTCATTTATTTTGAACACTAAAAAGAAATCCTACATGCAACCAATGCTATGAAAGAAATAGTTTACCTGGAACTCAAACACATTTAATTGGTATAATTCGAGTGATATTGTCTTTTAAAATGAAAATAGTTGGACAGTTTCTGGAGTTGATAGATGAAAAACTCAAACTTCTTCCTGGAAATATTTGGAGATGGAGGTTCTGCCTTTAATATTTCACTACTGCATCCTAGAAAAAAAGCTGATACTTTATCTTGACCACATATAAAGCAAGATCATGTGGCCCAATTTTATTTTAGTTATATGCTTTAAATTTTCAAATTGGTTACATGAATAATGAAAGTTCACATGTATAGGAAAACTGCCAACATCTTTTAATGTTGAAATTTTAAATTTAGAAATGGAACCAGACTATCTGACATATTAAAATACAGTCCACTCCTCTGATCCTTCTTGGTGTACAGCTTATACACTTGCTGGAAAATAAGTGTGTCAGAGTTTTAAAATGTAGTCTTTGGAAGCATGACTTCCTAAAATAAAAACCAACTCACTGGTCTTCAGGAAAAATTATTCTATCATTTGGCCATTCTGTGTACACTAATGAAATAGTATTTCCTGCTCACTCTGGAACAATTGTATTGTACATGTTGAGCCTTTTTGAACTCAAATAATTCTTGTTGCACTCATTTTCTCTTTTAGATTTTTTAAAAATTAGAAGTGACTTTCCTCAATGATGCAGCAGCATTTTGAGGCCCATTCTACTAATTTGAGACTTCAGACCAAACCTAAAAATGACATATATTTCTTCTTTTGTCAAAGTGTGGAACAGATATAATTGAATATAAATATTTGAAAGCTTAGATAATTAATTTGCAAGTCAGTGAAAATCTTCTAGTGTGGTGATGATTCGAGGTGGAGTGAAACACCTATTAGAAGAGTAAGCGATTGGATTATTAGATT